GTAATCACGCTTGTCGCCCTTGTTCCAAATCCTGTTTTCCCTTTGTGGTTGTTCGGTGTTTATGTCAACAGCTGATCGACTGGCTTTTAATGAAAGATTCTTTTTTTCGGTTTTCAATTTCCATTTTAATCAAAGTGCGTGATTAAGTGTTCAATTGCGTTTCTTGTGTCGAAATGAGATTGTGTTTTAATCGAATAACAAAAGAATCTTTACAGAATCTACAGAGTGTTGTAGATTCGAGAGAGGAGAATATGTTTTTTGGTGTCACATGACTGTCATAACCACCATAATGGAGATAAAGTGTAAATAATAGTCTAGTAATTTATTTATTCACCCGTATGTATTTTATCACTGTGTAACTTATTTTTAAATAAGCTGTATTTTGTTACCAAATTTAAACAGTTTTCTCAGGATTATTTTTTAAATTTTGCATAAATGTAATACTTAGGTTTTAGAGTGTATTTGTTTCGCGTCTACGTTATGGAAATGAAACAAAATAAATTCGATCACAAAGTCCCTGAAATTAAAAATGGACTAACCTATGTGAATTTTATTTAATTAAAATCACCCAATCGGAAATATTAAAATTAGTTATAAACTAAGGCGAGCAGAAAATGTGGGCAGATCTTAATTCTTGCAAGGTTGGTGGCTGACGAAATTATAACATGTCGTATACAAATTTACGATCATCTGTTTACTTTATTGTTTGTCAACTTAAACTTGGCAAACGAACGACTGTGTAATTGGGCTTTTACTTGCACATTTTAAGTGGAATGATGTCATAAATTTGTCGAAATGGGTTAGTAGATAAATTTGGCTTAACACGATAATTTTGGAACACATTTTTATTAAATAGATGGAATAAAAAAATGTGCATTTTCGTACCGTCTCAGTACCTAATGAAACATCAAGAAAACATGAGAAATATTTCTGAAATTTTTTTAGACAGATAATCTCTTGGACTCATTGTTGTCAAATTTTATAGGCACATATTTTGAGAATATAAAGCGCTCATCAAAATTTGTATGATCCTCCCCACCAACAATTTATTGACGTAACCTCAAAATTTTCATGGTAAATGGTATTTAAATTTTTCGCTCTATAAAAAAGGGAAAATCTGTCTCTGTTCTTCAGTAGCCTCTATTAAATACTCAGTATATAAAATTTAAACCAAAGGTTTGCAGAGAGAGGTAGAAGTTTGACTTATTAAATTCAGATAAATATAGAGCGATAATGAATTTTCAGACTGTCATAAATGGCAAGAGATGTGAAGAAAGGGAGAATTTTTAAACATTATTAACAGTTTTCTTGATCTTCAATTAAAAATATTAAATTGGAACTATGAATTTTTTGCTCGTTTTTTGAGCATTCTTCGAAAGTTACCTAAAGATATTTTGTTGTAGATTTCGACTTGTCGAAGTTATTTTCGGCTTCATTTCTTCGAAAATTCCAACAATTTTTCCAGAATCGATAAAATGAAAAACGGCAATTTTCGATATAAAATTTTTAAAAAAATTCAATATCAAACCGAATTTTTCGAAACCTTCGTCTGGGACCATTAGCACTTACCACTTTATATTTTTCGAAATCTATATTTCAGAATAATTTTTTGAGGATTTTTAGATAACTTTTCAAAAATCTTAATTTCTTAATGATGCATTTTTTGATTGTTTTTTGAATTCTTAATTATCTTAGCCCCGCCAACGCACCCTTTATTTTCTTAGAGGGTGTGTCATTTGCCAAAATATTACGTTATATAGGGTGTTAACTAAACATGTGGCAAAAATTCCTTGGATTATTGAAGATTTTTTAGGTTTGGATGATTTTCGGAAAGACACTTTGGTTCGAAGATACATGGTGATATAAAACTTTTCCAAAGAAAGAAAACCAATACTTGTACAAATTATGCATCCAGTCATTTCCTCACTGACTACCCAACTTTTTAGAAAATATCAGGGGATTTAAGTCTGGGGATGGAGCAGTTTTACTTTATTTTGACCATCCCGTATCTTAGCGTCTTTAACAAAATCCTTCTAGAACAAAAACATCTTAAAATAATCCAAGGAATAACCGCCTGAATTTTTGCCATATATTTAGTAAACACCTTGTATATATACAGGATGAGTCATCAAATGCGCGATTCTCGATATCTCATTAATTATTACAAATAGAAGACAAAGTTACCTAGACACCCTATGTATCTTTACATATTTTAATTTACCTCCTCTTAGGCTTTACAACTACAATATATTTTGAAATTATTTTTTAAATTAAAATACAGAGTGTTCTGTTTTTAAGAAGTATCACACACCTTTTTTTTAATGACCTCTTTTTAGTAGGTAGGGTTTACAAATCCAGTTTACTTTTGAAATTCCGATGCGACGTTGCCACGTTGTCCCAATTTTCTTGAAATTTTTTGGCTATGTAAATGTTCACATAAAAATCGCAATAGGGATATTTTTAAAATCTGTCTTACAATATATATTTTGTAGACGGGTAAATAAAGGTGCGTATTTTGTTGTGGTGTCAACATTTTAATATATAAAGCGTTTATAAAAAATTCTAAAATTGAAAAATTTTCAAAAATCGTATTTCAGTTTTTTCAAATGGAACACCTTGTATTTTATTAATGTTTCTCACTTTTTTGTCCCCAAAACTCATAGTAACTATCAACATTAAGTATAGAAAATACTCAGCAAAAAAGACAGAAAACAAAAAATTGAATAAAGTAGGATGTTCTATTTGAAAAAACTGAAACATCGATATTTGAAAATTGTAATAATTTAACAATTTTTTTATAAACACTGTATATGAAAAGGTAATCTCATTTATACCACAACAAAACTCGTACGGTTCTTTATCTCTACACAAAATGTTGACACAGATTTTAAAAATAGCACTATGTACTGTAATTTTTTGTGACTCCTTACATTGCTAAAAAATTTCAAGAAAATTAGAATAATAGGGCTTAAGAAAAGGTCAATTAAAATATGTAAAGATATACAGGGTGTTTGATTTTAAAAAAACTAACTTTGGTTTTTAACTTTTTTTTGAAATATCGAGGAATCCACGCTTAGGGACTCATCTGCATAAGTATCATTATATTAGAGGCTTTTTAGGGATCTCAAATTTTGATCTTACCCAGTTTTTCCGGAATTTTATAGTTTGTAAGAGCTTCCAAAGTTTCTTTTTGGATTTTTATTAGAAACTTTAATTTCGAATCTCCAATAATTCTGTATTAATAGTTTTTTGTATCATTTTTATTATTTTCTAATTTCACGCTTAGTTTTAGGACTTTTTTGTTTTATGTTGAGATTTTCACAAATTTTGCATGATTTTCAGAAATTGTAGGCAGTTGGACATCTGATATTAAAATGTAACGCTATACATGGTGTTTACTAAACAATGAATTATTTAAGAATGGTTTTCAGAAATACACTTTGTTGCTCATCTAAAAAATCTCTCGGTATATACACTAACTTTCTGGTCCCTTCTTTGTTGAGATTCAAGTTATATTTAGCATAACTTTTGAATAACATTTAATAATTTCGTGAGTTTCAAAAAGAACGTGAAGACACGCTTTTAATTTCTAAAAATATTACAATAGACCGCGATTTTCAGGATGCATTTCTTTTCAAAAAACCACGTAAAGTAAAATTTAACACACGTATAGAAAAGCAACAAGTGTCTACAAATAAATTGTAATTTTTCATCACCCAGATCACGTACAAATTATATAAATATAAATATTTGCATAATTTGATCTTGGGTTGTATAAACATTTATGAAAAAAAAGTTGATCACGTGTGTTCTAGAAGAAGCAACTTGGAATTGGTCCATTTCATGTGAATAATTTCTAAAACTTAATGTAAAGCTTACTATTTTCCCATTTTATCAAGCATCACACAGAGAAAATTTTGTACAGATAGTGCCTTTAATTGTCAAAATTTTCATAATTTTTCTTTCACTTTAAAACACATATTAAATTCGGAAGTAATGATTTTCTATTGTCCATCTTTTAAGATCCAAATACCATTTTTTCGTTCATCACGTATCTTATTTAGCCAACATGAAATTTTTTAGGTCAACCAGGTCGTTTCATCCACGTTCAGCAAATGAACTGCACTTTGACAAAGACTTTTTCATCTTAGCAATAGAGCTTTGTCGCAGCTTTTAGTGTTCCATAGGGACACATAGTTTTATGGTGAAGCACTGCGGTAGAAGAGTTGTTTGTGAAAAACTGCCAGGAACCGTTGACATCGCACGTGACCGAAAATATCGAATCATGTTCACGGTTAAACTTATGCACTTAAATCGACTTCCATCACTCAAATAATCTAACTTCAACTCGCCCATTTTCTAGAAAAGGGTATTATTTTAGGACATAATTTATTCATGAGTTTAAGTCATTTAATGTGGCATAAAAGAGTAGTAAAATTTAGTTCGAACATTAAAACCTTCATTCCCAGGTTGAATTTGAAACCCCGTTTGACTGCTGGTTATAAATAGATGTCTTCATTTGCAAACTTCGAGTTTTAAACAGTGATCTGGCATTTTTCGCCGAGATTACTCATGTGTGTTCTGATAAAGTAGAAGAATTCAAATTTATGTTTCTCTATAGCGCAGTGTGTCGTAGAATTCGGGATCTTAATTCTTCCACATTCCGACATTTATCACCATAAGGGACCTTCTGGTTCCTGTCTTTGCAGATCCCTGTTTTTGCGGGACGTGACCGGTGTCTTTTTATGGATCCTCAAACGATAAAATATCCGCAGCGGTCACGTCTGAGGGGGCAACTAGGCCATAATTTCCCTTCGAATTACGTGTTGCGTGATAAAGTGTGCATTTAGCATACAGGGAGGAAGGGAGAGAAAAATAAAAACCATTTTACTTACATAACATGCATCAACGTGACCGAGTAGTTAGAGGAAGTGCAGAAGAGAGTATGAAAAAGAATTGATATGAAGAGGAACGACACTGACATTCATTGAAATTCTTACCACCAGACATCTGAGGCTCGCCCAGTTGTACGTAGAGTAAGACGTCCTTTTCATAGCTGTCTTCTTCGATTATTGTTAATGGGATGGTTTTCCTGGAAAAAATTAAACCTGTTGAACAAGAACGTGAGCTATCTCTTCGAAGAACGTCGAGGCCTTTCAATAACACTCGCTTTAAATATAAAATGAATATTCATGCGTGCGACGATCGAAATTTTATTCGAGCCCTCGGATTTTCACCTGAAAAAGCACGACTTTGCGATAATTCTAATTTGAATCAATTACTTTTTTACGTAACGTCTATACAGCTTTTTGAAATAAATGGTTATAAAAAAAGTTGATCGATGGCTATTTCGACAGAATTTTTTTGACTTGAATCTTGCAATTCTCCAAGTTTTCTCTTTTTTTTTGTTTTTTCAGTTTTTTGATTTGGAATTTTTTTTTCGGTTTTTTAGTTTGTTTATTTTTACAATTTTCCAATTTTATAGTTTTTTTGTTTTTTCAATTTCAATTTTTTCTATTTTCGTTTCTTCATTTTGCAATTTTTCAATTTGCAATTTTTCAATTTCTTATTTTTCTTTTGTTGGTCCAATTTTAACTTTAAGACTACAAATTTTAACTCTTTGAGTTTTTATTTTTAAATTTATCAATTCTTCGATTTTCCAACTTTCGGATGTTTCAATTTTTAAATTTTGCAATTTTTTCATTTATTTCGCTTTTTTATTTTTTCAATTTTACGATTTTAGGATTTTTTCATTTTTCAGTCCTGGAATTTACAACTTTTTCGTTTATTCGATTTTTCCATTTTTTGATTTATAATTTTTCGACTTTTAATTTTTGAATTTCTGGATATTAATTTTTTCAGTTTTTCGGTCTTTCAATGTTACAGTTTTTTGACTTTACCATGTTAAAGATTATATAATTTTTCGATTTTACAATTTTCAGGTTTTTCAATTTTTCGATTCAATTACTCTTTCCTTCTTTCGAATTTTTCAATTCATTAATTTTTTTTTTTATTTTTAAATTTCTCCATTTTTAGTTTTTCAATGCTTCAATTTTTCGTTTCATCAATTCTTCGATTTGCAATTTTTCGGTTTTTCAATTTTTTGGAATTTTAAAATTTTCTCTTTTTCAATTTATGATTTTTAAGTTTCTTGGATTTTTCAAATTTTGTGACTTCAATTTTTGATTTGCAATTTTTTCACTTTTTCAATTTTACAATTTTAGATTTACATATTCCATTTTTCAATTTTTGAGTTTTAAAACTTTTTCATTTATTCGATTTTTCAATTTTTCGTTTTTTAATTTTTTGGAATTTTAAAATTTTCTCTTTTTCAATTTATGATTTTTAAGTCTCTGGATTTTTCAAATTTTGTGACTTCAATTTTTGATTTGCAATTTTTTCACTTTTTCAATTTTACAATTTTAGATTTACATATTCCATTTTTCAATTTTTGAGTTTTAAAACTTTTTCATTTATTCGATTTTTCAATTTTTCGTTTTTTAATTTTTCAATTCTTTCAATGTTACTGTTTTTGGACTTTACAATTTTGTCGATTTTATAATTTTTCGATTTTACAATATTTGGCTTTTCTAATTTTTCCATCCGATTCGGTTTTTCTTCTTCTCGATTTTTTGATTTATTAATTTTTTCGATTTTTAGTTTTTCAGTGTTTCAATTGTTTGTTTTTTTGATTTGCAATTTTTCGTTTTTTCAGTTTTTCGAGTTTTCAATTGTTTATGAATTTTTCGGTTTTCAATGTTTTGGTTTTTCAACTTTCAGAATTTTCAACTTTTCGTTTTTTAAGATTATTCAGTTTCTCGATTTTTCAATTTTTCAGTTTTACGATTTTAAAATTTTTTCATTTTTCAATATTGGATTTTTTCATTTATTCGATTTTTCGTTTTATCATTTTTTAATTTTTAATTTTTTAATTTCTCGATATTAAATTTTAGGCTTTTCAATTTTTCGATTAGATTCGTTTGTTCTTCTTTCGAATTTTTCGATTCATTATTTTTTTTTTATTTTTAAGTTTCCCGATTTTTACTTTTCAATGCTTAATTTTTTCGTTTCTTCAGTTCTTCAATTTGCAATTTTTCGGTTTTTAATTCTTGATTTTTAAGTTTCTAGATTTTTAGTTTTTTACTGTTTCGGTTTTGTTTTTGATTTTTGAATTTTTGGTTTTTTCATTTTTCGTTTTTCCACGTTTTCTATTAAAAAAAGTGGATAAAGTGAAATATTGTAAAAATGAAAACTTTGAAAAATCTAAAAATTGGAAATCAAGAACTTAAAAAATTGAACTGCAATAAATTGAAAAATCGAAAATTTAAAAATCCAAAAATTCAAAAATTGAAATATGTAATGCAAAAACAAAATATTGTAAAATTGAAATATTGAAATTTAAAGAAATCGGATAATCGGCTAATTGAGAAATCAAAAAATTGCAAAATTTAAAAATTCGAAAACGAGGAATTGAAATTCAAAGATGGAAAATTTGAGAAATGAATAGAAGAAGAATTATAAAATCGAAAGAAACATTGAATTGATGAAGGAAATGAAAAAGAAAAAAGTGTGATATAAAATCGAGAAAATGAAAATTAAAAAATCTTGAAAATGGAAAATAAAAATCACAGTTTGAAAAATGAAAAAATTAAAAATTGAGAAATTGAAAAATCGGAAAATGAAAAATAGTAATATCGAAAATTTGCAAAATTCAAAAACTGAAAAATTATGAAACTGAAACACTGAAAAATGGAAAAATTGAGAAAATAAAGAAAATGAAAAATGCAGTGCAGTGTAATACTAATAATAATAACAGGAGTGTACCAAATTTTTGGTAAAATGGATTGATTTAATCAGTACAATAAATTGCCTCATTTATTAATTTTTTTGAGTTACCTGGTAAGTGTAGGGTCATAATATTTTGCATACTTCAGAGAGGATTTATTCGGCAACATTTTGGATGACGGGATAAACGAATAAATTTTGCAAGACTTCAGAGCGTTCGGTTTTGCATTTCAAAGTTAAATCGCAAAATAATGTTATACTATTTTGATTTTTTTTTTCGAAAATCTGGATGTCTAGGGTAAACACTGAAGACGGATTTATAAACCAGATGTGAAGAATTATCTTATTTTATAAAATTGAAATAACATTTACTAATGTAAATTTTTGAATTTTAATAAAAATTCGGAGACGGCCGACAGACAGACAGACAGAAAGAAACGGGAGAACTATTTTTCGTATTCTAGGGGTGATGAAACGTCGAGAAAGCATGAAAGTGGCCAGTCGTCCAATGGACACAATTACAATTGTTCCTTAGCTTACGCTCAGGATGTAAAAATGGGTGGTTTTCTGTCAGACCGAATATAGTAAGTCAGCAGAGTGTTTTTGTAACATAAAGCGTTCGAATCAAAGGCAGTGGCGGAGTATGCGTGATTAAAGTATGATGCATTTATGAGTAAAGAAAAACAAGCATAATATCTGAACTTATATGTAAAATTTAAGTCCATAAATTCCATAATATAAAAGTTTTATAATTCTTTCACCACTTTCTGAAATTCCGACTGATTCGCCTGTTACATCCCTGAAATATATACGATGATTGAAAACAATCAATTTATAAATTTCTCCACATGATTAGCCTGATTCGCGTCCCATTCATCTCGCTACGCCGGCTCCAAATATTAATCACCCCGAATCTCGATTCAATTACGCCACTATCCATAAGAGCATTAAGCGTTTTTGCTTGGACACTAATCGATGTGTCGGCCGTATGGGACCGCGGCGGGCGCTTAAAATAATTGCACATCGACCGGATGAAAACTGAAACCGCCATAAAATTATTAGAATTCACGCAACATTAATACAGCATCCTGAAATTCCTGAAAATTACGATTGGTAGTCGCGACGCGAGCTGGTTGCCATGGCGAGAATGTAATAAACGTTTGCTTGGGAGACGGGACGCCGAAACAGGATAGCATAGGGTGTTGAGATTAAAATGATAAAAGCAGGTAAAACCGTTGTAAAAAATCATAATTTAATATTAGGGGTTATGAATAAAATTTTACGCCACTTTTGTTCGCATTAAGGGAAGGACCAAAAATATTTTTAATATGGTAACTGGATGACGCAAAAACCGTGCTTGTTGGGGCGTGCAAATCCAATCAGCACGACCGACGCTGTAATTTCATACTTGGTATTAACGTTTGTGTTCGGAAAATTTGAATCATTGCAGAGGCGGCAAACACATGGGTGGAACATTTTTAATACGTCACGCACCAACCAAATATTTTTTAATTTTCAAGTACGGGGTTTCTATAAATGATTATGGGTCGAATTGGGTCATGGAAGCGTGCCGCCTATCACTTTGTGTGTTACTAAATTGTCTAAATGGTTCATTTCTTATGTTGTTAAAATGTTGTTCTGTAACATCCTTTCGTTAATGCTTTGGGTCCATTGTCCAGTTTAGAATCATTTATAAAAACCCTGTATAATAGTTGTAGTGGTTTATTTTAAACTCCTTCCTATTAGTTATGGCTGCCAAGTTTTAGCATATTTGGATGATAACGGTGGCAAAAATAACTGGCAAAACATTTGAAAATTTGGCACATTATTTTAAAAAATATTTGAAATATTTTTAAATATGCGCTCGAATAAATGTTTTTATCGTGAGATATTATCATAAAAGTGACCTTAGAACGCAACTGAAGAGCGTTTCGGACATCCGTTTCACACATAAATAATCAAACCTTAAACAAAGCATGAGTCAACAAAAAGGCGAATTTATATTTATTTAAAAACAAAATTCATATCGTTAAACAAAGTTTCTCAAAGTTGTCAAACTTAAAATGAAACGGGTCAAAAGTAAACGGAAGGTTTGTTTTTGGGGAAGAATTATTTAGATGGCGTAACTTTAATGTAATTTAATTTATAGCTTCATAAATTAATATTAGATTTATTTATTGGATATCTGATGACTATGAATCAGTATTTTACTCTATTTATTTCGCAACGCTGTCACTATTATTGCATTTAATTTATCTCCATTCTGTATTATAGCTACTCGTAATAAATGAGACTATTTTCAAAGTG